TTGCTTCAAGGGGAAAACTTCCCTAGTTTCTTCGCCAGTCTGTCTGGGCGCCCTCTGTTTAAACTTCAGCCCTGGCACCTAATACATCACGCGTGGGATGAGTCACCAGCGGGTCTGTCTCGGTGGCTAAACCGGGCTGCGCCGCCACCAGGGTTGTCGTCTTAGTGCCAGCTGCAGGCGGCGGGGCGCTAGCTTAGTGGGCGCTCAAGGTGCTCTTAGAAACGAGCCCCCCCCCCATCTCAGGGCTCCCAGCACCCCAGTCCGGTGCAAAGCATCTGGGGGTCCGAGGTGGCCCCTGCCTGCCCTCTCCTTGCCCGGCTGGCTGCCCTGACTCCTGGCAGGGCTCTGCCGGCCTCCGGTGCCCCGATCCTGGTCCCCGCCCAAGTTCCCCAGCCTCTTCATCTAAACGCGGCCCGGAGCTACCGGGGGAACTGGAAAAACACTGGCAGGCCGCCCCACCCCCAGGCCCCGGGCGGCCCGGGCGGCCGCGGCTCTGCGGCTGGGGCCTGCTGCCTGGGCGGCGCTGGCCCGGGGCGGGGAAGCGGGGGCGGCGGCCGGCCTGTCAGCGGGAGCGGGCGCGGGCTCGTGTGTCAGCGGCTCCCGCCCCTCGCCGCCCCCGCCGCCGCCCGCCGGGCCTCCCGCCGCCGCCGCCCGCCCTCCCCGCGGCCTGGCAGGCTGCCGGCTGCACAGGCGGGGGTTCGCGCCGTTCTCACGACCTCTCAGGTTGCCTGAGCTCATCTGGGAGCTATTCATTTCCTGCCAGAAAGCAGCCGGGCCTGCTGAGCGAGCCACCTTGGCCGCGGGGCCGCCGGGGTTTGGCCCGGTGTGGCCGCCCTGGGCCGCTCCCGCCCGGCCCGGCTTGCTCCCCGAGGCCTCCCAGGAACCCCGAGCCACCCGGGGCGGGCGCGCGGCGGGGGCCCTTCGCCCGCCCATCTGGTTGCACTTAGAAGCCCGGAGGAAGCGAGCGGCGGGTTGTTACCGGCCAGAGGGTGTGGGGAAAGTTAATTGACTTTAATGACAGGTTCCCCCGTGACGATGAGGGGGTCCGGTTAAACCTCTGCGTCCCCACTGCGGGAACACGTGGGGGTGGGGCGGGATGAGACCCGAGGAAGGGGGGCGAGCTTCAGTCGCCCACCCGGGCGCAGGCCCCCACGTCTCCTCGGGGTGATGCTAGAGACCTCGGGAGAGCCAGGGCCCCAAGGGTCTCCAAGGAGAGGCCTCCGAGGTCCCTGGCCTCAGGGACAGAGTTTGGAGATGTGCATTATCGCTGGAGGGATCAGCTCTGCAGGAGCCGGTAGAGGGGCAAGGCAGCTAGGTGTGCCCTGAGGCGGTATAATTAGACCGGGCCCAGAGGACCTGCAGGGAGGCCAGAATAAACTGCGGCGCTCCACCTCTCCCCCAGCTACTTATTTAAGAAACAGCAGGGATGCAGGAGGCAGCAGTGTCTAAGAAATAAATCTGTTCCGTTTATGAACTTGGACCTGCCCTAGTGAAGGGAAATGACTTATCCAAGGGGGTGCCGTGAGTTCAAGTGGCCTTCAAGAACATGGATGTCCCCCATTGGGACGTAGTCTTTCTTCCAACCCATATAATACTGAAAGGCTTCATTTAATAAATGTAAACCCACATTATGAGTGTGTGTGTGTGGGGGGGCTCTTTTCAAAAGAACAAATGGTGGTTTATTTTTCTCTCACTTTCTTGGCTTCTTCGGATGATGCTGTGTATACTTTGGGTGACATTATTTAATATAGATACATGAAGAAATCGAAATTTTCTTTCCACCCCATCCCCCGCCCCGTAAAATGTTAAAGAACAATGTAAAGGAATTACTTTTTATAAAATTGAGATCATGATGTCTGGATTATTTCTACCAATGAAGCTAAGAACTCTTGGTGGGAACAGAGGACCGGGTTTACCAGATTTTAATATCTGAGTTTGGGATGGGTGTCTTCATGGAGCAATTGTTACTATATTTATGTTTAAACAAAGGGGAAACGAGGGGGGGGGAATGGAATGACAAAGGATGTGTGTTTCTTTGGTAAAGGGTGTCTTGGACACCTTTCTTGTACACAAAATAGGGCAAATAAGGAGCCAAATTTTCAAAACCATCTTTTAAACCCCTCTCTCCAGGGGTCGAAGCTGAAGGTATTGGAAAGAACTGTCTGCTGTCTGTTAGACCAGCCCTGTGGTAGGGCCGTACTCCATCCACACTGGCCTGTGGGAAAGGCTGGAGCCAGGCGGGGGAGAGGTAAGGCTTTTGAAACAAGACAGAAAATCGTTGGCTTTATCTTTGTTAGGAAAGCTTCAAAGATTGATCTCTCCCGCCTCATCCTTCTCCCAGAAGCCGCTGTAGGGAAAGGGGGAGGGGGGTGAGAGGCAGGGGGGTGAGAGGCGGGAGGGCGGGCGGGCGGGCGGGGCGGGGGCTGGGAGGAGGACTGGCCAGCGGTGGGGGAGGAAGGGCGCGCCGGCCAGACCCACAGCGCGGCTGATGTGTCTGGTCTCGCAGGGCTCGTGGTTTTCATTTCCCCAACACCTGGATGCAGTCAAACACCTGGCCAAATCTGACAAAATCTGACAAGCCTTTGTGATGGGATTTGGAAGAAATTCCCTGCAGATCCTGGCACAGTTTAAAGCTGTCCGCTTTGAGTTAGGACTTGTTAAGGAGGGCTGTGTGAGCTGAAACCCGAGAGAACCCTTTTGCTTCTATCTGGAGCCCACATCTTGCCTGGAAATGGGGCATGACCAAGCAAAGGGGTCGCTTGCTGTTTGTATTAAAAGGGGAAAACGGCCTGTGTGCCTGCCAGCGCAGCCCCCACATGCTTTCTTCATTAAAGCCAAGCACGGAAACTGATCAGAAACACATGTCTGCTGTTAATCATCTGGCCCGGGCTCCACTTGGGAGTCTAACTAGCTGTCCCACGGCAGAGGGAATCTGTTGACCTTTTCAGCTTGCTTGAAGAGGGTGCAGAGAGGTAGTTCAAACTTTGTGACGCGGGTGCTAGGGGATGCGTAGCTGCATTTTAGGATAGACTAATGAAGATCCCAACACTCTAAAGGAGGGCTGCAGTGGCTTAGGGGGCTTGTGGTTACCCCAGGGAGTGAGTTGGAGTCGCCCCTATGCCACCTTTCAGAAGGCACAAAATAAGGACTGTTTGCCTTTAAACGCTTTCCCCCCCTTTTTCTTTTTCCTTCCTTCCTCCCTCTCACACCCCCCCCCCAGTCCTTTAAAGAGAAATGACCACAAGTTTATCAGGAAAGCCCCATCAAATGAATTTTCATAAGTTAAGACTTTTTAAAGTTCGTGGAGTGTTGGTGAAAGGTTTGATGGTTTCTGTTTAAAACATTATTATTATTATTATTATTATATTTTAATTCTATTTCTGGGTTCCCAGACTACATGTAATATGAATTTCAAGAGACCCCTTTTACAAATGTTGAAATAATCAGTTCTAAGACATAAAAGCCTTCACTCTTTTATTATACTTTCTCAAATAAACTTCCCCAAAGGAAGATATTTTAAGAGCATTTTCAAACATCTTTGGCATCACATAAAAAAAGAAATCTCGTGTAAAAAACGAAATGTCATCTCAACTTTTATAATACAAAGGCGCAATCCAATATGAACATATAAAATATATACAAATGCAGTGCATGGTCAGTCACTTAATACAGCTCTCTACAAAAAGTAACTTTTTAGAAATTAAAAAAAAGCAACAAAGTAACCACCAAATTATAAAAGTCTTCTCTCCTAATGTCCAAGTTCATTTTTAGTGTCCGTCGGAAGAGAGGTGGGCTAGGGAGTTTAGGGGGGAACAGTGGCCTGAGCCCCTCAGTTCCGCCACGGCCTCCACATGGAGTCCGCAGTGAGCGAGGAACCGCTGGAAGGAGACACTGCGTTAGGACCGACCGAGGTCCCGCTGTTGCTGGTGTAGACCGGGATGACAGGGCCGCTGTGGGCAAAGGCCCCGTTGGGGATGAGGAAGGCAAACTGGCCATCGGGAGCCGGCACCACCTGGAAGCCGCCAAAAACCTTGGCAGCCTCTCCAGCCTGGCTGCCCAACTTGCAGGGTGCGCTGCCGGGAGGGGGCGCCGCGCCCCCGGGGATGGGCACAAGCGGTGGCGGCGGCGCGAACGGCGCGTGCTGGGGGCCGCCGGGTCCTGACGGGGGCGGTGGCGGCGCCTGCAAGGCGGGGTGCGGCTGCCCGGGGTAGGTCATGGCGTTGATCTGGGTCATGCAGTTAGCCAGGTGGCCCAGCAGCCGAGTGCGCACCTCGGTGTTAACGCCCTCACACGTGGACAGGAAGCGGGTCACCTCGTTCATGCACTCGCTGAAGCCGGCGCGGTACTTCCCCAAGACGCTCGGGTCTGTGCTGAGCGCGGCTGCAGGCCAGAAGGAGAAAGGACGGGTCACCGAACAGCCCTGGCCCCGGAGCCTCTGCCTCCCGCCCTGGGAGGTCCCCGCAGCGCGCCTCCGGAACCACCTGGGGTTGGGAGGGTGGGGTAGGCTGAGAACAGCCAGCTCCTTCTCTCTAGGTTGGCGACAAAAGCCCGGGCACTCCCTCCATTTAAACCGATCTCCGCTCCAGATCTGCCACCCCTAGCCCCGCGCGCGACGTGACCTTGGGCAATGCCACCCAAGGCGCCTTCCAAGTCCCACTTCCCCTCCTGCGGCAGGGGCTGGACCGGTGCTAAGCCAGTGACCCCTAGCTTCTATCGAGCCCCAAACCGCCGCAGTCCTAATGTCCTTTCGCCCTCAGCAGCTTCCACTACAGCCAAGCCGCCCACCACCCTCTCGGCTACAACCTCTCCCTCCCTTTCCGGAGCAGTAACAACTTGGGAGTTGTGGCTATAAATAAGACCCAGACCGTGGGAACGCGGAGTGAGCCAAGGCAGTAAAATGTAGCTGAATGCCTCTCACAACCGCGGGCGGAAGTCTGGAAGAAATCACCGCGGGCCGAGAGGGACACCCGCAGAGAGGGGACGCACGCGCGGTCCTCACCGGTCATCTGCGCCCGCTGCAGGTTCCGGAGGTGCTTCACTGTCATTTCCAGAATGTCTGCCTTCTCCAGCTTGGAATGCCGGGAGCTCTACGCAGAGGAAACAAGGGAAGAAAGTGAGACCCCCCCCTTGTCAACTGCCTCCTAGTTCTGAAGGTCCCTAACCCCGCCCGCATGTCCCACATCCCAGGGCCCCGCGGGAGAAGCCCGGACCTCCCTTCTGCCCATAGGGAACGCAATGCTGGCGGGGTAAGATCCTCACACACCAGGCGAAGAGTTTGGTTCTTTGTGCCGGAGAAATATCATTGCATTCGTAGTAATAATAGTAATAATAATAATAACAATAATAATAATAATAATAATAATAAAAGCATTGCTCACTTACATCTTTCTTAAGTGCATCCAAAATCAGTGTTTTCAGCTGGCTCAGACTTTCATTTATTCTCGCTCTTCGCCTCTTCTCCATGATAGGCTTTGATGACTGCAAAGAGGAAAAAAAAAAAGGGTCTGAGTTCCCACGGGATCTGCCATTTCACCCCGAGGTTTTAAGAGGGAAAAGGAAACGGAGCCCCTCTGCGCGCAACCCACTTAATTTCTAGGGGCTTCCGAGAGACACAGGTACTGTCTTACCTTTCTGTGCTCTGAGGCGGTCTTTGGTTTGTCCGGTGTCGTGTTGACACTGGCTGGGGTAGCAGCCACCGGGGACGAGGAATTTTTCTCCATTATATCAGCTGGCATTTTCTTTCCTTTTTTTCTTTCTTCTCAAACCCCAAAGAATTTTATTTTTGGAATCCTTCACGCAAAAAAAAAAAATTTTTTTTTTCTTATGTCCCTTTTACTTGACTTTCATAAGAAAAACTCCTGAGCAGCGGAGGGTTTATTACGTCTTAGGGCTACTTAGTGATCGGTAGCGCTATTCCAGGACCAAGGAGAGAGGTAGACGGGGGATTCCGCTCTTATCAGCACCAGCTCCAGATCCTGTGTGATCCGCAGGCCCTGGCGGCCTCTATATATATCTGGGACTGCACGCGAACGGCTCGTGTGAAACTTCCCAAACTTTCTTTCCCACAGTAACTTTCAGCCAATGGGAGGAGGAGACACGCGGCACCGCTCGTGGACTGCGCCCCCCCATTGGCCGCCAGGCACAAGGTCTGGCGGCCAATGGCGCGCGCCTGAGCCCGGGGCACCGGAGGCTACAACGTCAATCAAAAGGATTTTAACCCTTTGCTAACTCTCTCCTCTGGGCTTTGCTTTAGAGAGGACTTTTCCGCCTCGGTTTTGGTCTAGTCTCTTTTGTGGCCAGGTCTTTGGATTTTATTGTCTTTGCCACGTGCAACAGAGCTACTTTGTATAATAAGTTCACTTGAAAAAAAAATTTTTTTTTGAGAAAATATAGGCTAAGACAGAATTTAGTGATTTAAAAACGGGGGAACTCGCGCAAGGGTGTGTTACTCTAACGTCTTCGTGAATTCCCGCTCTAATTCTGTATGTTCAGGGGAGTGAAAACTGTTCATGCAGAGGGAAAACAGCAATATCCAAACCCCAAAACTAATCACTCCCTTACCCGCCCCTCTCCCCCTCCAAAAAAGAGAAATGCCTTCACAGGCAGGTTTTTCGGAGCAAGGTGGCTTTTGGATGCCTCCCCCCACCCCCACCCCCTTTTCTCATTCCTCTCCTGGGAATGGGGCCTTGGACCTCACGCTTCTCCAGGAAACAATCAGAATAATTTCCTACTGGGCAGAAAGGAAATGGAATTTCAAATGAAAAATGAACAAGAGGGGCTTTGATAGCAATGCCACAGGGGCGCGCGCGCTGCTCCGCCACTCTATACCTTTCTCCCCCCCGCAGGCTCTCCCGGTCGGCCGTACGCGGAGGCGGCGGACGGGGAGTCGGCCTGTCCCCTCCTCACCCTGCGGGCGGCCAAGGCGGCCTCTGCGCCCGGCGCGCGAGCCCTTTAAGAGCTCCTCCACCAGCCGAGCTGCAGTTTGACATCAGCCGGCCGGCGAGGGCGCGCCTGGAGTCGGAGCACGTGCCAGGATGTTTTATTGCCGCCGCGGCTGCGGCCGGACCCAGAGGATGTGTGGTGTGTGTGTGTGCGTGCGTGTGTGCGTGTGTGTGTGTGTGTGCGCGCGCGCGCGCCCCGGGAGCAGGGAGGCGGGGGCCGGCGGCGGGCGGCCGGGAGCGGGGGCCGGCTCTTAGTCCCCGGGAGAAGCCAAGAAGGTAAATAGCAGCTGCTGTGCTCGAGCCTGGGAAAACCCCGCCCCCTGCGCCTGGCCTGGGCTCATTGGCGCGCGCTGCGTGTGGGGGGTGTGTGTGTGTGTGTGTCCGGGGGGCCCCCTCCTCCGGCCCGGGCGAGCCAAGAATCCGTGGGGGTGGCGGGTCGGGAGCCGGGCCCCGCGCTAGCCTCCCCTCCTCCCCAGCCCCCGGCCAAGGTCAGCCCTTCCGGGCAGGAGAGCGCTCGCCCCAGGGTGGCGAGCTGGGAATTCGTCCCCCCACCCCTCCACCCCCCCCCCACCATCACCACCCCAGCCAGGCCGGACTCCGATCTTGGGGTTTGAGCGCGGCCGAAACCTCCCCGGCGACTGCGGCGGCGGCGGCGGGGGCGGGGAGGGGGGAGGGAGGGACCCGGGTGGCCGCCGCGGTCACGAGATGCCTGACCGCACTTAGGAAGCGGCCGGGTCAGCCTCCTGCCTCCGCTCAGCCGCTGCGGTTACAGAGGCTTCGCGCCGCTCGCCCGCCCCTTCCCCCCGGCTCCCTCGCTGCGTCCGGGAGGCCGCCGGCGGGCGGACGGCGGGGACGAGACGGGCGGCTGCGTGCTGCCGGCTGGCCGGGCCGCGCGCCGGGAGGAGTCGCCGCCGCCGCCGCCGCCGCCGCCGGGTGCCACGTGGCGGGCGCCGGGCCGGGAGCGCCAGGGCTCTGGCGGCGGCCTCCCTGGGGGATTTGCCGCACGGCGCGGGCGGCGCGCGCTGCCCCCGGCGGCTGCCTGCCTGCCTCCCCTCCTTGCCTGGCCCCCGATCGTCCGCCCCCTTGCCTCCACCCCTGGTGCCCCCAACCCCTTCGGATTTCCCGCCGCCCTGAACTCGGGGCAGCTCGCGAGCCCAGGCGCGTTCTTTGATCCCCGCCCCCCAGCTTTTCCCGCGTCCGGGAAAGGCCTGGCACACAAGGCGCGCACACTCTGGTTCCTCCCTTCCCCCACCCCCCACCCCCACCCCGAACCCCCACTGAGATAATGTGAATGATTTCTCCAGATCTGGTCCCGGATGAGATGAAGTGGTTCGTTGACTGCATGACCTTGGGCAGCCCCCCCCCCCCCCTTTTATGATGGAAAGCCAGACACTGTTAAACCCGGGGATTACCACGATGAGAGAGAGATACAGTGGCCGCTCCCTTGGAGTAATCTACAACCGACTGCGGAGACGCACAGAACCCGACTTTCTGACCAATGCCTGGGGATTCTGCTTTTTCCCTTTCTCTTGGGGCTTAGATGGTGGGGTTTTTTTTTGGGGGGGGGGGCGCGTCCGGAGGAGTGCCTTCACGGTACGAAGCCACACCTGCATCAGGTGTGGAACCAGACAGAGTGTCCTTAGAAAGCCCGCTGCCGGATACCTGTGTGAGCATGGCTGCCATCTGTGGATTTCCCAGAAGATTCCCCCGGGAGAGCCTTTAAGAGAGGCAGTAGACAGAAGTAAAATGATACAGAGAACCCAGGAGAATTAGTCATACGTGAAGATGTTATGGTAAAGTTCCTGGTGGAGAGGATTTTTGCTTTATACCTCAGAAGAATATGGCTGAGGCGTTGGGAATATGCTGAGTCATGGGGCTGGGTTGGAAGGGAGGACCCATAGCATTTAAGGCACAGATCCCCGGAAACTGAGGTCTTTATGCTGAGTGCATTCAGGGTGTGTGAAGGGGCAAGGAAGAAATCTGAGACCACCACACAAGACCCTTAGACATCCTGCCTTATAAAGGACTCTGAATGCCACAATAGGTCACAGTGGAGAAAAGACACTAGGGATCCATAGAAAGATGACCCTGACGGGTGTCATGCATGAACTACAGGACTTGGAGACAGACCACTTTAAGGGGATCAGACCGGTAGAGATGCTCCCGAGGTTCTGCTCTCTCGTAGGGTTCTATTTTACTCTCTAAGCCTCTTTTCTGCCTCCCAGGACAGCCCTCCTTACCAGTGTGCAGAGAAACCTTCACCTCAGGGCAGCCTGGCTTTGTTCACACTTATTCTCTTGACCCTATGGGGTGGGGGGATGCAGTGTGTGTGTGTGTGTGTGTGTGTGTGTGTGTGTGGACATGCTGGAGAGTGGGCTGTGCCCTATCTTGTCCTGAAGAATTGATAAACAATGCCTTTTTTGTTGCTCTGCAACCTGGACCAATGGAGTAGGACTCTCCTTTCATATTCTAAACAGATGGGAAGGTGGTGATGACAGAGAATTCCCGGGTGCCTTTTCAACAGTGGGGTTTTCCTGGGTTTTTGAAATACTCTTGGTGAAAGGTGATGAACCTGTGCTGTCCCCCTTTCTGCTGTGCCCCCCGACAAACTTCTTAAGCTTCTTAAAAAGCTCCTACTAAGCCGGGCGGTGGTGGCGCACGCCTTTAATCCCAGCACTCGGGAGGCAGAGCCAGGCGGATCTCTGTGAGTTCGAGACCAGCCTGGACTACAGAGTGAGTTCCAGGAAAGGCGCAAAGCTACACAGAGAAACCCTGTCTCGAAAAACCAAAAAAAAAAAAAAAACAACAAAAAAGCTCCTACTAAGTCTCTGATTAAAAAAAACAACAACAACTTCAGCAATCAAACCAAGAATACATTGTCCCAGAATCTCCCGGGAATCAAAGCTTTCCAGGGAGCGTTTTCACCCTATCCAGGTTCCCACCGTCTGTTATGATTGGCTACTGTCTGTTCTGAAGCCCTAATGCACTAACCTGGCCTGCCATTGTCCTTTCTTTCTAGGGCTAAAGTTCCTGGCAGGTGCATAGAGGATGAACAAGTCAGTTAGGGCCTTCCAGCAGCCCCATGGGTCAAAGTGTGGGCCCTGGCCCCCCACTGTGAGTGGCAGCCGCCTTGCTTGCCGACCTTGACCAGATGTCCTCCCTATTCAGATTCCCTGCCGGTTTCCTTCTCACCTAACGTTCTACCGGAGGTTCTTTGTTCCTGTATCCTGCATTTGGTGTAAACAGCATAGATGCAAAAATGTAGCAAACTTCTGCCCTCCGGGGATCCGCCATTGTGCTGTAAGCCTGTATTTAAGGTTTCCTCCCTCTTTCAATAAATGGCATTCGGCTGGCACTTGGCATTCAGCCGTGGCGAATGACTCGCTGTCTCTTGTCCCTTATTTTTTAATCCACAGCCCCTCGCTCGGACATGGTGAACGGTTGGTGATAGCGCGGGCGTTATCCCTACATCAAAGAGTTAATCACAGTTCATTTATTGTCACTTTAGGAGTATTTGCTCTGGTAGAATAAGCAAGTGACTTCACATACACACTTTTAGGTAGAGGGACAGAAGGCCCATGTGACCAAAAATTATACATAAATTTGTGCCTGAGCACTGCTCCTTCCCAATAAGATTGAAAAGCTGTGAAGGCCCTGACTCTTGACTCTGCTACCTGCCAAGAGCGAGGTTGCTTTGCAAATGCACTTACAGATGAGGTTTTAGTCTCCTGGTCAGTGAAGGTATGTCACATTGGTGCCGTCCACCCTCCCAGGGGGGCAGTGAACTCAAAATCCAGAAAGAATTTTTGAACTTGAAAGGTTCCTAGAAACAGTTTTCAGTCATATTCTTCTTTATTCCCAAAGTGGGGGGGGGGCACACGAAATGGGGTGTTTTGAGTGGAGGTCTTTTTGTCCCCAGTGTGATGTCATATCCAATAATCACAACCAGGGGCTGCTCCGTTGTCTGCCTGTGTGACTGAGGGGTGACGTCTCTCACCTGTTTGCTTTTAAAGCATAAAACTAATGTCCGCAGCCTAGGAGAGACTCCCCCTTCCCCCTAGGTTTTTGGGAATGTCTTGTGGGTTTGTTTTAGAGCTAGGGAAAGGGGGGGGGGTGGTATTTTGCCTGAGGACTCAAAGCTTTTTTTTTTTCTCCCTTTTTCCTTCGCATGACTGACTTTCTCACACTCGGATTCCCTGCAGCCTGCCAGAGACTGGGTTGCTGCCTTGCCAAGAGCCATCCTGGTAGGGTTATTGAAAGAGCTTTGAGTAAGTACACACGGGGCGGATCTCTCTCCTCCCCTCGTACCTGCCCTGCACCTGTACAGGGAGCAGCCCCACACATATCACCTGATCACAGCCCTTTCAGACTCCGTGAGAAAAATGAAGCCCGGGAGAGCAGAGACGTGTTTGCCTTTCCTCCGGGGCGGCAGCCAGCTCCTTGCAGCTGGGAGTGTCCAGAGACACTTTCGACATTCCAGGCATCCTGTGCCTGCATGTCTGTCTGTGTGTGCCTCCTGGCGACACCACACCTGAGCCAGAACGAAGCTGGAGATCACTTTCCCTGTGGCCACTCTTCTGCTCCGGCTGCAGGCGGTTGGCTGGCTGGAGACTTCAGGATCCTTTACTGGAATCATCATCATTGTCTTCTCAGATGAGAGTCTTGGAACTAACTCATCACAGAATTCCCGAGCGAGCAGAACTTCTCATCACCTGAACAGTCCCTGAAAAGGAGTTAGAATTTCTTCCTCTATGTGCCCCTTTATTTCTAGCAGGTGTCTAATAAATATTTCCCAAATGAACAAATGCACCACTTTCTTACCCAGGGAGGGTCCACGGCTTTCATCTGAGCCAGATTCTGTGACCAGAAAGGTTTAGGCAATCCGTGTCTCCTAGTGGCTACCTTACCCTCCAGAGAGGGAAGGGGCCGGTTAGAGAAGGCACAGGAATGTAAGGCTTGGGATGGGGTGAGCAGAGCCATCGCCCAGGCCCTTCCCACTGGGGCAGTGCTGTGGTCCTCACATTGTTTTAGGGCAGGATTTACAGAGTTTCAGTCAGCAGCCAGAGCCTGCATTTGAAAGTAGGGACATTAATAATGGGTTTTCATTTCTGCAGCGTCGTCTTCCTAAGCGGCTCCCTGCCTCCCCCCCCCCCCCCCCATGTTTAGATGGAGAAAGGGAAGAGAAGGTTCGGGAATGCTTGGAACAAATGTTTGGTTGCCACGCAAAGGCACTGGAAACCACTGCAAGGCTGCATTCCATCTTTGATAAAAATAAGTTGCCACTTCTGAACAAAACGCCTGCTTGATGCCTGGCCAAGCCCAGCCGGTACTAGGAGAAGTCGGGTGGGGGGTGGGAAGCAGGCTTTCAACATTGGCTAATAGCCTGTAATGCTCCCCCGCCCCCTAACACTCACTGGAGCCAGTGAGACCAAGGGAATGTGCACTTCTCTAATGGGCTCTGAAGGAGGGTGGCTGCCAAGAAGGCCCTTCTCAGCAGGGTGGGGGTGGGGTGCCTATGGTCTGCTCAACTTTCCCTCTAGGCTGGGCCACAGGGGCATGGGGAGGCCCTAAATGCACTCATAGCCAGGAGCCTCACCTCGCAGCCAGGCCTCTGTGAGGCAAGCCTGCAGGTCCAGGGGTGAGGAGGCCATTCCCAGACACCATGGGATGCTACCTCAGGACACAGGGCATGAAAGGTTCCAGCTGGGTTAATGGCTGAGGCTTGTGAGGACAGGCCCAAGGCTTAGGAATGTGGGGGTGAAGCTGGGGCCCTAAAAACTCAGGGTATGCAATTATTTGGCTTGCAAATAAGCCACTCAAATGGTGACATCAAACCAAATCTCTCTAAAATTCGAAACCAAAATAAATATAGCGGCCCAGAAAAATGAACTGAGCAAAATTCAAGACTGAAAATGATGTAAATGAGGCCTGGTGGTGTAGGTCTGTGAATCCCCCTGAGGCTGGAAGATTATAAGGTCAGGACCTGCCTGAGTTACAGAGTTCAAGGCCAGCCTTAGTAACTCAGTGAGATCCTGTCTCAAAATGTAGAGACAGGGGATATAGCTTGGTGTTACCAGGCAGTGTCCAACAAATATGAAGCCCTGTGTTCAACTCCCAGTACCCCATCGGGATGTGTGTGTATGTGTGTGTGTGTGTGTGTGTGTGTGTGTGTGTGTGTGTGTGTGTGTGTGTGTGTGAGTGAAATGGATGAATATATACAATATATTTTCAATCTCCTCCACTCCCCTCTGACCTCCAGTTATCTCAGATTACAGGAAGGCATGGGCTGGGGGGCAACAGTGGAAAGATACTCTTTACTTATGTAATGGATGAGGAAACAGGCCAGGAGGAAATGGCTTGTAACAAGTGTGGTTGCTTCCCTGGAGAGGGAGCAGCAAAACCTCAGGCCCTCCACCTACCCATCTAGAAATTCTCCCCACTGTCTCTTGAGGAGAAGAGCATTTCAAATCAAATCATCTCTATTACCCCAAGGATGGATTTTTTTTCCAATTGAAGAAGAAGAGGCCCTGCAGGTAAGTACCCTGGGTAACCTGGAGCGTGGCTCCTTAAGCAGGCATTCCGCTGAGTTTTCTCCACTGTGATTTGCCCGGATTTGCTCACCATTCTGTATTCCCTGGAAGAGAAAGAAGTCTGACTTCCTAGTTCCAGGAGCCAGGAAAGCTTCTGGAGGGGCCACCAGAACAGGCACCCTGCCCCCTCCAGTCATCCAAGTTACGCCAAGCCACATGCCCTTCTTTCTTGGGGCTAATCTGTTTTGCTCCAGACGGAAGATTGGGAGAGAGAATGGCTCTGTCTCCTGAGTCTGGATCCTCAGATGCTAAGTTTTCATCTCAGGGGCAGCAAGCATGACATTAGGAATACCAGGAAGGGTTAGACCACGGAGAGCTTGCCGGAACTTTGGGCCAATGTCACACGTGTCAGAGGCAAGACAAATAACGGACTTCCCAGGCGGTTGAGAGATGAGGCTTGTGTGCGAACTCTATCCTTTCCTTTGGGATGCTGAGCTGAGAGAACAGCCCAGGAAGCTGCCCCAGGTGTCTCCTGTTGTCTTCCTCAGAAGACCTCGGAAAGTGACACCAGCTTTGCCACTGAGGTCCCTCGAAGAATTCTGGAACTTGGGCGCTTTCTCAGTGGTTAATCATTCTGTTCTGTGTGTAGAGTTATAGACACAGATCAAATCTTATAGAATGGAAAAGGTTTTTTTTTTTTTTTATGGTGACAGGGAATAGGACTGTCTCCTGCTCTGGGGTTAGTCTTGGCGGAAGAGGTCCCAGAACAAAGGGAGAGGCAGGGTCACACGTTAATCTCTGTCGTCCCTCTACTTCTGCGGACATGGTGGAGTCTATTTGGGATCCCCTTAGCCTTACTCAGTATGTGGACATTAGATGAAGTTGGAACAGAGTTCTTCCTTTTGTGGGATTGAACTGCTATAGGCCAAACTTGGCTGCAGTCCTAGAGGGCCCACGGAAAGGGAGCTCTCTGGAAACATGCTGGTGCCTGCCAGGCTGGCCTGATCTCACAGGAGGCCTCTTGATCAAGTATGTTGCTGGCTCCTGGAGGACCTTGCCAGGCAATGTGAGTCTCACACAAATATCCAGCCAGGCCTTAATCTCAACAGGCTCCCACAGTCACATGGGGACCCAGGACTCAAGTTCAAGTGAGATCCTGGGTGATCTGTAGCCTCCTCACCTACTCCCAAAGTCCTGCCATTGTACAGTCATAGACTCGATGTCTGGGATGGTTTATCACCTGGGTGGAAGGGTATTGCCCCCACTGATGTGCTTTGTGTCAAATAACCATGTTGACTGTGGTTGGATACTACAGTGAGGGTTAGACTTTTTCCATTTCTAATTAGTTGCTTAATTCTTCATGACAAATATTTTGGAGCACCTAGTATGTAGGAGTCAGAGTTAAGCACCACCTTCTGGACAGTTGCATCCATCTCTGCCCACTGTCCAAATGTTATTCATCAGTGTGGCATGGTGATGTTCCAGGTTTTAAAAATGTCCCCTCTACATGCTACATTTTCTTACTGGATGTTCATTTTATTGTTTATACTTAATTACTTTTTGTGGTGCCAGTGATTAGAACCAAGGCCTTCGTGCATGCTAGGCAAGCACTCTACTGTTGAGTTATATCCGAAGCCATGTCTCACAAACTCTTCATTTTTCTTTCTTTCTTTCTTTTTTTTTTTTTTTTTTTTTGAGACAGAGTTTCCATGTGTATCCCTGTCTGTCCTGGAACTTGCTTTGTAGACCAGGCTGGCCTCGAACTCACAGAGACTCGCCTGCCTCTGCCTCCCGAGTGCTGGGATTAAAGGTGTGCGCCACCACCACCCGGGTTCTTTACCTTTCTTGATTCTCTAATAAACAAGCTACTTGAGAAGTAGCCTGCTGTAGAGTAGGCACCCTGGTATCTGGATAATGAGCACTGACTGGATGAACTCAGACTTAGGGAGATGAATTTTATGTGTAATCAAGGAATCCTTAGGGTGAGCATATTCTTCAAACTTGTAACTGCTTAGTCAAGGGGTAGGCTTACTTTTGACCACAACTTTTTGATCACCTATGGGCAGCCATCACCCTCCTGGCTTTTCCTTTCTTTAGGAATCTGTGTCTGTCCACGTTTTCCCAGGCCTATCTTTATTGATGGTTATTAAACACACACCACCACATGGCAATGTGCAAGTACAAAGCAATTCCCAGGGTAAGGTACGTGGGAAGAAGTGAGATACCGCACTCCCAAACAATCCTCCTGTAATCGCCGCCTGCCATATCTATGTAAAGTTAATAAGTAAGATTTCAGCAGGCAGGTCCCATCATTGCAGAGCAGATAGAAAGGGTAGGCCATGCATCCTCCCGGGAGACTGGAGAAGAACATGAGGACACCTGGGGCAGGTGAACCCCGAGGGCCCTCACCCAGCAGGCCATGCACAAGGGCAACAAATACCTGGGAAGAGGGGCCCTACTTCCTGCTTCTTCTGCCCTCTAGCTTCTCTTTTCATGCCAGCTTCTCACGGAAGATTCTGTGGAGCCAAGAGGTAAATAGTAATCACATTCAGACACACTGGGCGAAGTGTGACTGAGGCACACCAAACACCTGTTTTTATAGAGCACCCCGGATTACAGGCCTGTGACTCCCACGTCAAACTTGAGCCCCAGTTTTTACCTGAGAGGATTTCATCTAGCACACACAGGACTTTGGAAAAGGCGGGAGGGGCTGGATGACAGTTGTACCTTCAGCATGTTCGACTTGGTTTCATGTTGGATGGAGTCAGTGTGCCCAGGACATCCCCCTCATCACTGGTCAGTCTGCTCCCTGGTGTGGCTACAGCATAGGAAACCTACCACGGATACTTGTATCTACCAACCCTGGCTGGGAAGGTCCATTTTTCCTACGGTGTGTGAATATTAAGAAGGCAGGTGTTACATGCAAGTCTCAGGCCATTGTTCAATGGCTGGAGGAAGCCTCAAGGAAGAAAAACTTTCCCGCCTGAAATATGTGCCCTGTGAGCCTTGAACTCGACAAGTCTTGAATGGTTAAGAAAGTGCAATTATTTCCCGAACAGGTCAATGACAAAGTTTATGCTTTGTTAATTTCTTTAAAAAATAAAATAGACAAGAAAGACGTGGAAAATGGCTTTTTTGCTTGTGTGTTCATCTAGGTACCTATTTAATGATTAATACTAGCTTGTGGGCTATTGTTTGATGTGGCCTCTGCTGGTTTGAACAGGAGAATACTGATTCAGTCTTTAGGCATTTAGGAATCACAAGTGTTT